GGAGGTGTTTAAAAGACATGTAGATATGGCACATAGGGACCATGTTTAGTGGTGGGCTTGGCAGTGTTAGTTTAATGGCTGGATTGATGACCTTAAGAATATGTTCCAACCTAAATGATTCTATGATTCTGTGACTGACGGGAAGATGGGGAGTGAGGCATGGCCTGTTTAATGTGTCTCACATATATGGAGCTCCTCTACAGCACAGGCAACATTTTAAGTTGGTGCTTGTCATAAAATCACAGAATCACAGAATGGTTTAGACTGGAAGGGACCTTTACAGATCATCTAGTTCCAACCTCCCTGCCTTGATGATTAACTTCTATTAGTTCTTCTTTTTCTTTTTATTTTTTTTTTTCTGATTCTTCAGTGTTTTTAAAGACTTGTCAAAGAAAAACGAGTACACCAAAAGAGATATTGAGTGAATTGCCAGTGTAAACCAGGTGAGCTACCCCCATGCCTGTGTCTTCCTGGCAAGGAGTCTGTCCTGAGAAGGGGATCCAGCTCTGCCACTCTCTGGAGAGGGAAATCAGCAGTGCCCATGCCTCCTGGGGACACAAAAGGAGACTTTTACATGAGCACCTTTCATGAGAACTGCTTTGGAAGGGCTACTTGAGGATGGCTTACATTGCAAATACTGATTGAAGTGACATTGCCCAGCATGTTTACAAAGCAAGCAGAATGCTTCATTGCAGTAATTTACACGTAATTAATTCACTTGCTTTGTTTCTTTCTTTCTTTCAGGTACTGTTACTCTTAGGGAAATCATACTAACATCTGAAGGATTCTTGACAGAAGCCTCATGGTGTTTACATCTCAGGGAATGAGATGGCAGAGGCCAAGGGAAGGAAAGGTTGGACACTCATCAGGGTTTTAGCAAACCAAAGCGTGCTCCCCTCTCCCCAGCACCGTACCCTCCTTATCGAGAGATGTGAGAAACTCTGCAAACTAGATCTGGACTCACAGTTGTGTAACTTATGCCTAATTGAAAAGGTGTTTTCATGCAAGATCACATTTTGAGATTTCATTTAGCCCAAACCATTTCAGTTAACACTACCTCCATCTTCATTCCGATGCTGCCTGATGTGTGACAGAGCTGTTCTGTATCTCCAGGCAGGATGGGGAAAAATTTGATGCCTGAACTGGAAATTGTCCCCTTGTCAGCAATGTGAATGCAGTGCTGGAGCCAAGAGGCCCAAGAAACAAATTTCCCTAGGACCAGCTAATGAAACATCCCGTAGGCTGTGGGACTTCCTTTCTGCTGATAGAGAATTTGTAAATCCAGATGATACAGCTTCAACTATTTTTGTTTCTCTTTGAAACTTGTCTCTCAGCACTGAGGTACTTAGACTGTATTGTTACTTTAAAAGTCTGGTTTTGAAAACTAGCCCAGTGTGTGTCTAATTCAAGGAGGTGATGGAGATTATACTCTGGGTAACTCTTATGGGGTTTGTCAGGAGTTTTGCTGAATCCTGATGATTTCCTTGCCTGAATCTCCTTCTAGAGAAGCCTGACCTGGAGTTCAAAGTACTCAGGGTTGTCAGGAAAGGCAGGGCTTGCCACAACAGACTTTCCAAACTTTCCAGCAGTTCAGAAGTTGCAGCCTGCTTTGAGAACTAGCTTAGCAATGCTTCCTCCCCGCAGTGCCTGGGGAGAGCTGAGCTGTGCCTGGGTCACTGAAGGAATTGTTGGTGCTATAAGCTCCAGGTCACAGTGTAGAACATGGGGCGTTTTTTTGCTGCTGGCATGTCAATCTCAAGATGTGGGGAGCAGAGAGCAAGGGCAGAGCAGGACATTAGGTCTGAGCAGGGATTGCAGAGAGATCACAGAAGGAAGATGTGGTGGGGTAGAGGCAGCGAGTGAGGCCCCAGGTCTTGTTCCCAGGCACCATCAGCACAGAGGCCAACCCTTCATGCTGAGCATTGCAGGTGGGTGCTGGATGTCCCGAGTCAGGGAACTGCTGATTTTGCTGTGGGTGTTTGTGCAGTGAAAGTGTGTGAGTGAGAGCTGAGTCTCAGCCCTGTCTTGTGCTGCACATGTCCCCAGCCCAGCTCCCTCCTTCCCCTGATACCCTGAGACCCAGTAACTTCCAGCAGAGATGCTGGGGAGGGGCTGGTGGTGCTGAGTTCCAGCTGGGCTGGACTCTGTTGGATCCAGCCCTGGCACTCACCCACCTTAGCTGGGATGGGGGAAAAGTCAGTGCAGGGTCTTTGGGTCGAGATCACCTGAGCCCTTCTCCTCCCACAGGGCTCTGTCCTTTCTCAGCTTTCTCCTTTTTCTCTCCCTTCCTCACCATTCCACAAGCTCAGACCCTCAGCTTTCTGACATGGACTCTCTCTCATCCAGTGGGGAGGGCTGGGGGCTTTACTCATCCTCATCAGCTCTGCTGAAGCTGTTTGTCCTCCTCTCTTCCAGAAGCCAAACATTCCCTGCTGGGAGGTGGGTTTGACAACACTGAGAGCACCATGTATTTCAAGGAGCACAGCTGGTGAGGCTGCTTCTCAGGCAGGCACTTTCCCTGGCTGTGCCCTCAGGCATGTCCCGGGCATCGCCCATGGCCCTGAGCCTGCTACTCTCCCACCTCAGCCCCAGGCACCCCCGGGACACCCCTCCCAGTGCCCAGCAGTGCTGAGCAGGGAGCCCTGCAAGCACAGCTGGCTGTGCCAGGTCCTGCTGCTGGGCTGGATGTACAGGGGGGCAGCCCAAATCCTTGGGGACCCTGTGCCGAGGAGGTGAGCATGGGGAGTGAGTGGTCCTCACTGGCATTTTCCTTCCTCCCTGCACAAAGTCTCTCATGAGATTTCTGGTTGATGCACAGTTATAATTTTCTTTAATTTCCTTTTTTCTCTTTGTTTCTCATCTTTTCTTTTACTGTCTCACACACAGTGTGGGCTCAAGCATCCTCTGTCATGATCTCATTGAACAGTCCCTTTGTCTGAGCAGGTAACTCCTGACCTGCTCCTTGTCAATGCAAGAAATTGGCCTGCTCAGGGCAGGAATGCTCTCCTCAGAAGGGCAGCATTTCTGAGAGCTGAGACCACTCACCCAGAGCTGTGCTCAGCCTTCTCCCAGTTGGAGAAAGGACATCTGCCTTGATCTTTTCACAGAAACTATTTATTTCAAATCATGGCATTGGTTTTCCTTGGAAGAGCACAGAGGATCTCAGTTCTAAACAGCTATTCTGGTCATGTTGAGAAACCCTTGAGCACAGAAAGCAGGATGTCAAAATGTGAGCAAATGCACATGATGTTTGCATTCCAGAACGAGGAAGAGGCAGCTCCACGGGGCAAGTCAGTCCTGTGGTCAGAGGGAGTGCTCTTGGGACAAGTGGGTCTGTCTTCTTGATGAACAGAGGTCCCTTAATTTACTTTAGGGAGAGAGAAAAATAGACTATGAACAAGGGAAAGTAGTTGAGATTTTGGTTTTTTTTTTTTGTATCTTTTTTAACCAGTACTGTCCATCACAGTTATTCTTCTACTTAGTGCGGAAATGCAGTTGTTTGTCACAGGCCTCCTTCCTGATAAGTGGGGAAAGAAAGAGAAACAATGCTGTATGGAAAAATGGGAAGAGGAGAATCAGAGAAAACCCACAGAGTTCCTGCTTCTGGGAACGGGGAATGTGCCCTCACTCCAGACTCCACTCTTCCTCCTGTCACTCATCATGACTGTGATTGGGCACATCCTCATCATTGATTTGATGGTGTCAGAGCAGCATCTGTGTTAAAGGAGACTCGAACTCCGTCGTGGGTTACTCTAGGATTTATTCAGGTCCAGCAGCGTTGGGTCACCTCCGCAGAGAGTGACAGCTTACATGAGTTCGCATACATGTATTTATGCACCTACAAAGCATTACCTAATCCAGAATACACAGAATTATACTTTATCAGTCATTATTATCTTGACAATGGGTTTCACATCTTGTTCTGGAGTCCGACCACTTCGTTGTTTGTTTTCTTTTAGTCTTCAAGGGCGATTACCTCAAGTTCTGTACGTCTCAGTTCTTAGTAGTCACAATGATAGCATTATTATCTTGACAATGGGTTTCACATCTTGTTCTGGAGTCCGACCACTTCGTTGTTTGTTTTCTTTTAGTCTTCAAGGGCGATTACCTCAAGTTCTGTACGTCTCAGTTCTTAGTAGTCACAATGATAGATCTCCCATTGCTTCGGTAGCTAAGGGCCAGTTTCTCATACATCAACATCCTTTGAACTGTCAGGCACATCATTACCTTTGTTACAACATTTTATTAATGTTCTATTCAGTTGACTGCGCATGCAGCCCTGGGCTGGGGCTATACAGGGAACAGAGCTGATAGAACAGCTTGTGCAGCAGCACTGCATTGCAACATTTTCTCAACAGTCCCCCTTTTCTTTTTTAGGATACTCACTATCCTATCGGATACAATAGGGTCTGGTGGGTATACGAGATAAACACGAGACACAACACTGACATACAAACATTACCATGATCAAAATGATTATGACTAAAACGACTACCATTAGAATCTTCTTGATTAAAGTTGGAAAATCAGGAATCAAGAAGTAGCCCATTGCCATAAATCACTAACATCCCAGGATACATTGTCTCGTTGTACAACTTGCATCATATGGCTTACTTCCTATTTTGGCAACATCTTATTCTTTCGTTTAAATGTTTTTACCAAACACTTCATCTCCCACTTATAATCATGAACCTGTACTTCTGGTGTCACACCTTGGTATCAATATGCATATTTTCTAATTTTCTGAAAGGAATCTTGTAAATATAATAAATATTGAGTGACATTCTCATCTCCATCCAGTAGTGCAGTTTTTGCTGAAATATATGAACCAGGTACAGCTAAAACTCGTCCAAATAGGACCTCTGCTGGGCTAATTCCTAACGGCTGCTTTGGAGTAGTTCTAAGATCCCATAAAACTAAATTTAATGCCTCTGGCCACTTTAATCCAGTTTCACTGCATACTTTCGCTAACTTCTCCTTAATTGTTCTATTCATTCTTTCTACTTGCCCTGATGAAGGGGGTGATACGGAGTATGAAACTGTCCTTTGATGTCTAGGGTTACATAAACTTGTAATAAAATAGATGCTGTAAAATGCGGTCCACGGTCAGAGTCTATCACCTCAGGTACGCCATATCGAGGAATGATTTCCTTAAGCAAGATTTTTACAACTATTTTTGAATCATTCTTCCGGGTCGGGAAAGCTTCTACCCACCCAGAGAGTTGATCTACTATTACCAGCAAGTATTTATATCCGAGAGCGGCTGGCATTTCCGCAAAGTCAATCTGAAGTTTCTGAAAAGGATAGACTGCTGGCGGCCTCTTCCCTGGCGTTACTTTTGGCCTTATATCTCCATATCTCTTACACAAAGAGCATCCTTCAGTCAGTTTCTTAGCTGCTGAAAAGATTCCTGGTGCTGCCCATAGCTGCGTTACCTTTGAGGCTACTGCTTCGGGACCTCCATGCCCCTTCTCATGGTACCAACGCGCAAGCGGCAGTACATACCTTCTGGGCAATAGAGGTTTACCATTCAGGGTCCAGATCCCTTTATCTTGCACAGCTTGCATCTTCTTCCATTCTTCCATTTCGGTGGTCGGGACATCATGATAAAGGGTAGCAGGGTTTGGGATAGAAAAGAAATTAGCAACCACAACTTCAGTCGTGGGGTAATTTTTAGTAGCGGACTCGTGCTGCGGCATCTGCAAGAAAATTACCTGTCGCAAGCTGATCAGTGCGCTTCGTATGAGCAGGTATATAAATTACCGCAACTTCCTTTGGCTCTTGTATTGCCAACAACAAGTCATTAATCAAAGACCCATGTGCAATGGTTTTACCTGCAGATGTTAGAAAGCCTCTTTCTTTCCACAATGCACCGACTGCGTGACAAATGCCATAGGCATACTTCGAGTCAGTGTAAATATTAACTCGTTTATTCTTAGCATACAATGCTGCTTTGGTTAGTGCTATCAATTCTGCAGCTTGAGCTCCTAATGTCGGTGGCAAGGGTTCAGCAATGAGAACAAACTTTTCAGTAGCTATTGCAAAGCCCGTAAATCTTTTACCGTGAAGATAAAAGGAAGATCCGTCAGTAAAGAGATTCAAATCAGGGTGTTCCACCGGAGTGTCCCTCAAATCTTCTCTAGTCTTGCTTATGGTTTTCAAGACAGCTACACAGTCGTGTGATCTTTCAGGTTCAGTCACTGGGAGTAAGGTAGCAGGGTTAAGAGTCTTTGATCTCTCAAGTTTGACATTCTCTGTTAGCAAAAGGATAATTTCATATCTGTGTGTCCTTTGTGCAGAAAGCGCTTTTTCTGCATATTTAGTTAGTAAAAGTTCAACCTCATGGGGAACAGCAACTATGAGATAATGGCCTAGCACAATATTCCTTGCCTTTTCCACCAGCTCAGCAGCTGCGGCAATAGATCGCAGACAGTATGGAGATCCTCTGATAACTGGGTCCAAGGTGACAGAATAGTATGCTACAGGACGTTCGTAGGGTCCATGCTTCTGAATTAATACTCCCTTTGCAATTCCTCTGTTCTCTGTTACATATAATTTAAAAGGTTTTTTGTAATCTGGTAACCCAAGAGCTGGAGCATTTACCAAGGCAGTCTTCATGGACATAAAAGCTGTTTCCAATTCTTCCGTCCATGGTATGGGTTCTGGGCTCACATCTTTAGTAGTCTCTACCAAAGGTTTTGCAATCTCTGAAAAACCCAGTATCCACGGTCTACAATATCCAGCTTGTCCAAGAAAGGCTCTCATTTGTTTCTTAGTCAAAGGTCTAGCGATTTCCTGAATTGCCTGTACCCTATCTGGATCTAATTTCCTAGTACCTTCGGCTAGTATAAACCCTAAATATTTTACCTCAGGCTCACAAAACTGCAATTTGGAGAGAGATGCTTTATGTCCTTTCTCATATAATCTAAGACATACATATTTAGTATCTTTTACACAACTGTCATAATCTTTACTTGCAATTAACAAATCATCCACATATTGTATCAATTCTGACCCAGCCGGTAGTTCCAGATCTTGTAAGTCTCTCTTTAATATTTGAGAGAACAAAGTTGGTGAAGCAGTAAATCCTTGAGGAAGTCTGGTCCAGGTATACTGGCGACCTTCCCATGTAAAGGCAAATAAATTCTGGCTGTCAGGGTCAATTGGTATTGTAAAGAAAGCTCCGGTCAAATCCAAAACAGTATAGTATTTCGCCCAAATTGGTATTTTTGTAAGGATAGTAGAAGGATCGGGAACTACTGGATGTGGGGGTTCTACATATTCATTTACAGCTCGTAAATCCTGAACAAACCGATACTCAGGATTTCCATCCTCATCCTTTCGATTTTTATTTACAGGTAAAATGGGAGTATTAAAAGGACTAACAGTAGGTCTTAAAATGCCCTTATCCAAAAAATTCTGTATTTGTTTAGTGATACTAGGAATAGCTTCTGCTACGATAGGATACTGCTTAACTGCTGGGGGTATACCACCTTTAGTCTTAATTTTTACGGGGGTTGCAGATTTCAGAAGTCCCACATCTTTACTAGATTGACTCCATAGGGCACTGGGAACTTCTCTCAATTCCCATGGTATTGAGGGAACTTGTTGGACTTCCCTTTACAACTACAGCTGACCCTATAAAAACCAGGAAAAGTCCTTTCTTTCCCAAAGCAATTTGAGTTCCTAAATCTTGCAAAATATCCCTTCCAAGTAAAGATACAGGGGATCCTGGGGAAACTACAAACCGAGCCCAAGTATGTCTATCTCCGATTGAAATGGGTAAGGGTTTTGTCAGGGCTTTCTCCTCCGCTCCAATCACTCCTTTTATAATTATCCTATCACTGGATTTTTCAAATTCATCAAAATTTAACAAAGACAACGTAGCGCCAGTATCTACTAAAAAGATAACTCGTCGACCATTCACTTCAGCAATCAATTGTCCATCCGAATTCAGCGGTACTGACATTACTGCGAGAAACTTCTTTGACGAGGAACAGCTCCTCCGATGTAAGGTGAAGCAGCTTGTTCTAGAGTCTGCCTAGGGCGAATAGGACATTCTCTTTGCATATGGCCTACATTCCCACACCAATAACATTCTACTGTACCTCCTGTGGTAGGAGGAACCGGACGCCATCCTCCTCTACCTCTACCGGGGGAAATCCCTTCTCGGTCCCCGATTTCCTCTCAGAACACCTCGCCCTCGCATATTTTGGGCTAAAGCAGCTGCTAGTAAATACATGTCATCCCTCTTATCTTTTCTTTCTCGCCTTTCTCCTCCTCCCGCTGTTTCTCTAATCTCCTCCTTTCTTCACTCTTTTCTTTTTCTAATTTCTCTTGTCTTTCTGCATCTCTACCATTATATACAAAGTTGGCTACTGAAATGATTTTCTGCAAGCTTTCATTTTGCCAGCCAGGCATATGTTTCTGAAAATATTTTCGAATATCAGGGGCTGCTTGATTAACATACACTAATAGCTAAAGCTTCCTGAAAATTTTGTTCAGTCATCCCTCCGTGTTGTAACAGTGCTGTTCTTAATCTCTGCCAATAATCACTAGGGTGTTCATCGGTGCGTTGAGTACATTCCTGGACTTTCGCCCAATTGGTAACTCTCTCTTCACACTGGCGTACCGCTTCTATTAATAAATTAGTCGCAGTTCGCCAAGCCTGTAACCCATCTTGTGTGTGTATCTGCCAATTCGGATCAGCCTGTGGCCAAGTTGGTCTCCCGGGTGTATTCTGACTCATTTCACGATCTTTCAGCATAATCCTTTCTCTCTCTTCATTTGTAAACAACTCCTGCAATAAAGTTTGCATATCCTCCCAATTGGGCTTATAGTCTCTAATAATACTAGACAAAAACTTAGCACATTTTTCAGCATTGTCCCTTAACCTTGGCATTTTCTCTTGCCACAACATCAAATCACCAGGTTTCCAGGGTTGGTGTGTGGAAACTGCAATAACTGGAGGAACTTCAGGTCCTGAGTTGGGGCCTACTCTAGGATTGGAATGAAATTCCACTACCATAGGATATTGTCCTACAACAGATTTCCCTTCTGATTGTGGATGGGAACTCTGGTTCTGATTCTTTCCCTGATGATCATCAAGGAAGGCAATTAATTCTTCTCTTTTCATAGGTTTCTTTAGAGCCATACGATTTCTCAAATCGGCCCATTCCAGCCATAAAAATAAATAATTCATCTGCTGCGGATTCCTATCTTCTAATATCAATCTCAAACATTTCAACCTAGTTTCATCGAAGGTACCTTCAGGTGGCCATACTTCTTGGGGACCTGCCCCTCTAATTCTGGTTAAAAATGGCCAGTCATCTTGACATAACACTATAATTTTACTTTTACTCAACCCTGCTGTCCCAGAAAGTTTATTCCAATTTGCTAATAATTCTGCCAAGGGGGATCCTTTAGGTACTGAAGGATATCCTCCCATTCTGCAATTTTCTTTGTGAGGGGTATTTCAGAGTGATCCTTTCCTATTCCAACCCACAAACACAGACAAGGGGAGACTTGAACTCACCTTTCTGTAGCCGGCAGTTTGTAGGATGTAATATCGGGATCCTCTTTTATTCGTCCTCCCCGTCACAGCCTAGAGTCCCATCTGGGTGCCAAAACTGTTAAAGGAGACTCGAACTCCGTCGTGGGTTACTCTAGGATTTTATTCAGGTCCAGCAGCGTTGGGTCACCTCCGCAGAGAGTGACAGCTTACATGAGTTCGCATACATGTATTTATGCACCTACAAAGCATTACCTAATCCAGAATACACAGAATTATACTTTATCAGTCATTATTATCTTGACAGTGGGTTTCACATCTTGTTCTGGAGTCCGACCACTTCGTTGTTTGTTTTCTTTTAGTTTCAAGGGCGATTACCTCAAGTTCTGTACGTCTCAGTTCTTAGTAGTCACAATGATAGATCTCCCATTGCTTCGGTAGCTAAGGGCCAGTTTCTCATACATCAACATCCTTTGAACTGTCAGGCACATCATTACCTTTGTTACAACATTTTTAATGCTCTATTCAGTTGACTGCGCATGCAGCCCTGGGCTGGGGCTATACAGGGGACAGAGCTGATAGAACAGCTGTGCAGCAGCACTGCATTGCAACATTTTCTCAACAGAGGGGTGGGGAGAAGGTGTTCTCAAGATGTGGCAATGCTTCTCACTGTCCTACTCTGTTATGTGTTTTGGTGTCTGTAATAAATGTATGTTCTTTTTTCTTCCCCTACGAGTCTGTCTTTTGCTTTTGACCATAAAGGGTGATTTTTCCCCATCCCAGTCCTATCTCGAACCCCAAGCCTGCCTCTCTGTCCTTTTATTGCCGGAGAGAAGGGAGAGAGAGCTGCTGCATGGTGGTTGGCTGCCGACCAGGCTCAAACCAGGATAGGCCAGGAGTATGCACATGGCTGTGCAATAAGCTTGTGATTTCACCAGTGCTGGAGTATCTTTAAGTCAAAGTGCGGGTGTACGGCTGGTGTGGGTGATTCTATTATCAAAATAGCATTGAGACCACACACCCAAATATTGGTTTTTGGAAGACACATCGTCAGCAGTCGCCCATGCACTCATGAGCACACGGCAGTAGAACTAGGGGGTGTCAGTCGCCATCACCGATGGCACCCCATGGCCGTGGGGCTCGGAGCAGAGTGGCTGTGCACATCTGAGGGGCATCACAGGGAAGAGGAGCTGTGAGGCTGAAGGATCGATCCCTGCAGCCCTGGCTGGAGCAGTTGGGGGGTGGGGAGTGGCTCCGGGACACTGCAGGGATGTGTCTGGACACAGCGCCAGGAGGAAACCCCAGCTGCTGGGCTTCCTTACCCTCTAATTCCTGACTATTTGCCCCAATATCCTGGTATCAGAGCAGCCAGCTGATAATTAGCTCACCCAGATGGCGGCTGAAATAGTTTCACATTTCTCACCACTCACTTAGAGACAGGGATCAGGTGGTTTGTGACTCATTTGTGATTTCCATCCCTTCCCCATCTTGTTCTCATGACTGCGCTGCTGCAGAACAGGCTGCCTTTTGATTCTCAATCCTGCTCCCTCTTAGGAGAAGCTTCTTCCTCCCCTAATAACATGGAGAAAACATCTGCCACACAGAATAAGGTGATGGAGGTGCCATTCTGTGTATCCACCACTGATTGGCTCTTGGAGGAGAAGGAAACAGTGTAATTGTTAATTTTCTCTGTTGGTTCCCAAAGTACAGGGGTCACACCAGTGAAGAGCCCAAATACCAGAGTAAGCTCAAGGCCAGTGGTTTTCTAATAAATCTCCCAGGCAAAACACCACCAAGTGCTAGGGCACAGCAAACTGCAAAATCCCAAACCAGTCTTTAATATGTACAGCAAAAAAGGGCGCATGGCACAGATCAGATAAACCAATATTGAGAACAGGTAATGACCAGCAACTATTAAACAGGTATAACAATTCTAAATTTCTTTATATGCTCCGGTCTAATCTGTCGTTATCTCAAATATTGAGCCCCACCTTAGGTACTAAAGATGAATGCCATGATTAAAAGACAAGGCTAAGCTCAGTGGCCCCCACACAGTGGGATGGGGGAAAGAACTAGAAGGGTAAAATTGGGAAAACTTGTGGGTTGAGATAAAGACAGTTTAATAATTAAAAATTAAATAAAATTATAAAAAAAAAAAAAAAAAAAAACAAAAACAAGTGATGCAAAAACCCCCCAGTTACTTACCACCAACCAAACCCATGCCCAGGCAGTCCCTGAGAAATAGCAGCACTGGCAAAGCTCCCTCCCAGTTTTCTTGCTGGTCATGACATCATATGCTATGGAATATCCCTGGGGTCAGCTGGGTTCAGCTGTCCCGGATGTGTCCCCTCTCATTCCTTGTGCCTCCCAGCCTCCTCGCTGCTGGGGTGGGATAAGGAGCAGAAAAGACCTTGACTGTCTCAGCGCAGCTCAGCCGTCATGGAAACTTCCTTGTGTTATCAATGGCATATCCAGTATAAATCCAAACCATTGCCCCATACCAGCTACTGTGAAGAAAATTAACTCTATCCCAGCCAAAATCAGCACAGTCCATGAATAAAGAACTTAAAAATTAGTATGCCAAATATTGACCTCTGGGTATCACGAGTGACTGGCCCCCGGGCTGGACTTTTAGTCCCTCATCACAGTTCACTGGGTTCAGCCATTCAGCCAGTTTTCAACCCACTGCACTGTCTACTTCTGTAACCTGTACTTTGTCAGCTCGTCTGGGGATTTTATGGGAGACGGGTCAAAGACCTTACTGAAGTCAAGATCAACAATATACACTGCTCTCCCTAGCCTAGGAAGCTAGTCATCTCATCCTGGAGGGCTCCTCCAAATCACCTTCTTGTCCTTCAAATGGCTGCAAATGCTTTCCAGGAGGATTTTCTCCATCACCTTCCAGGGATGGAGGTGAGTCTGGGTCTTCCTTTACGCCTTCCGTGAAGATAGGAGTGACATTTCCTGTCTTCCAGTCTTCAGGAACATCTCCCACAACCACAACAGCGGGGCTACCTTTTCCAAAAAGACCCCAGCGTTCTTCAGGCACAGCACCTTGATCATTCAGACAAAAAAATACAGGCCATAAATCAGTGTC